GGGCGGATTGAGTTTCCCTCCCCGCCCCAAACAGAGCTGTGGCAGCCGAAGACCTCCAGAACCAGCCACAACCATGCTGAGACCACTCTCCACATGCATGAAGGTACAGGCAAAGTAACAAAGGCATGCGGGTCCTGGGGCTGAGATCTCCAAGCCTGCTCGGATCGGGGCTGAGCACCCTCCACCCAGATCCTCCATCTTCCAGTAGGCAGGGGTCACACACACACCAACTGACCCCAAGCGCCGTGTAATCCGATCAACGGCCAAGACCCAAAGGCTATAAAACCCAGCTCCCAGAAGCGCGTGACATCTTATTATTTCATTCTTACTTTGGACAACCTGGCAAGCTACCGAATGTAACCTGCCCACATGGCAGAGTCTGGCAAACTCGCCGTGGCATACCCAATATGACAAGTACCAGTAACAATGATGGGTCTCATTCTCCTAATCCTGAAAGAGCCTTGAATATATGGCACTTTTAATATCTCAGGGCTAGGACGAAGGAGACGTTACTGGTGCCTGCTTGAGGCAATCGACGAACAACAGGGTGATGGTGATTGTGTGAAGAAAAATAAGTAATACAGCAGGCTGATTGCTAAAAATCAGTAACCATTATCTAGGAAGAGAACCAACCTTGAAATTTGGGGGGAGGGAACATACTTAAGTACAAAAACTTGGGCCACACAGTAGTACAGCGGGTAGGGCATTTGCCTTGCACATGGAGGATCAGGGTTCAAACCCCAGCATCCCATATGATCCCCCAAACATCGCCAGTAATTACTGAATGCAGAGTCATGAGTGACCAAAAAAAGACCAAAAGAAAAAGTTTAAAAAGAAGCAAAACCTATTTACTCTGGACACAGTTGAAAATGAAATAGTGATAGTGGAAAATTATCAAAAGAAATTTATCCAGAACTCAGAGCAGGAATTTTTTTTAAAATGAGAGAAGTGTAAAGAGTGCTGCAATGAACAAACAAGTGCAGATGTCACTTCGACTATACTTTTTTGCCTCTCTGGGATATATTCCCAGGAGTGGTATTGCTGGGTCAAATGGGAGCTCAATTCCTAATTTTTTGAGAATCGTCCATACTGTTTTCCAAAAGGGCTGAACCAGTCGGCATTTCCACCAGCAAGCACAAAATTTGTAACTTTACAACTGTACCTCATGGTGTCTCACTAATAAAAATTTAAAAAAAAAATCAAACAAACAAAAATAAAATAAAATAAAATAAAAAGGGAACTGGCCAAAAAAAAGAGAAGTGTAAACATGATAGTTTGAGGAGTTCCAAACTACGTTTAGAAAGACCTTCAGAAACAAAATAGAGGGGTTTCAAGGGTCACTGAGCACTATCCAGTTGTTCACATAGAGCTGCTTACAAGGAACTCAGCATAAACCTAAACCTAAACATGCTGCACTGAATTTAGCATCACAGGACAAAGAAAAATACTATGAAAATGTCAGATAAACAAAAGGTCACTAAATGGATGTGGGCGCTCAAGAATATTAAGGTCATTGGTGAAGGGTAGGGGACACTGGTAAAGGGATTAGTTTTCTTTTTAATTTAAATTTTATTGAATCATCGTGAGATAGTTAGAAGCTTTCCTGTTTGAGTTACAATCACACAATGCTCAAACACCCATCCCTCCACCAGGGCACATTCCCCACCACCAATCTCCCCAGTATATCCCCCCGTCCTGCCTCCGTGGAAGACAATATTTCCCATACTCTCTCTCTATGTTCGGGCATTATGGTTTGCAATATAGATACTGAGAGGTTATCATGTTTGGTCCTTTATCTACTTTCGGCACACATCTCCCATCCCGACCAATTTCTCCAGCCATCATTTTCTTAGTGAACCCTTCTCTATTCCAGCTGCCTTCTCCCCTTCGCTCATGAGGCAGGCTATGGAGTAGTCTTTCTGGCCCATGTATTTACTGTACTTAAGTGTCAGCCTCATGTTATGTTGTTCTATACCCCACAAATAAAGGGATTAGTGTTGAAATATTGTATGCCTGGAACTCAATCATTGTAACTTTGCAACTCACTGATTCAATAAAAATATTTTTAATAGAAAGAAAAGAATATTAGTGGAAAAAATCACTAAAAAGAGATTCTAGATAAAGAAAAATTAAGAGGACAATTTTAAATGGGGAAACTTAGTTTATAAATTATAGGAGTAAGTCAAAGGAAACAAAGAGAAGGAACCAGTTTGAAGATCAACTTGAGGGATTGCTGGAATCCCCAAGACTTGAGAGGGCAGAAAACGACAAAGTAAGTTCAGAGAAATGTTGCAATAGTTTTCAGGTGTTTCCACCCTATCTGTGGAAGATGAACAAGGGCACAATTTATGACAATACAGTTAATTTATTCATTCTATTTATAAGAAAACTCCAATGTACCTACTGGAAACCAGCATGACTTTAGCTTCTGGGGAGTAGACCGCGACTGAGGAAGGGTTGATAGATTCAGGTTCCAACACTGAGAACACATTAGTGAGTCATGTAGCAAATCCCACCTTTTTGGAATTGCATTGTTGTGTGTGTGTGTCACAATAAATAAGTACATTAAAAAGAGGTGTATTATGTAGAACACATCCATTATGTAGTATTTAATATGTTGACCACTGCTATAGGAGAACAGTGTATTTGGCACTAGTTTGATCACACAGTGTGGGAAGATAAGCTGGTGGCAGGCATCTGTGGCATTCCCAACAGCTCTTCATGGGAAGAAAATCCTGTGAGAAAGACACAGCCTAAACCACGTTTGAAGAAAGAGAGAGCCTGCGTGTTCAGGGGGCAGCTAGGAGGCTAGGCAGCTAAGGGGAAGGAGATGCTGTGAGATTGAGGTTGCAAGTCAAGAAGGGTAGGGCTTTTTGAAATTGCCTCTCTTTTTTGTGTCCAGAAAGATGACATTATAGTCTTGAGGATGTGCAGGAGAGCATCAAGTACCTCGCAGACTAGTTTACTGGGCCTAAGTGTGTATGTGTGTCCCTCACTGAGCTTCAATATCTATTTTGAGACTGGAGACTAGGGTGAAGGAGTGTTCACCCTAGCAGAGGAGAAGAAAAGAAGTGCCAAAATGTGGAGCCATGGTGAATGAGAATTCGATCTAGAACAGTTTTTGTTCAATACGTAAATAAGCCTTTGTGCATGTCCCTTCTTAGAGCAAGGCACTATGTCTGGAAGTTGGGGCCCCACAATCATGTAATTAGATAACCTATTGGGATCTATAGGTGAAACATCAAATTGAGGCAAATTAGGAGGATTAAGAATACCTTTTTTCCTTAGCATTAAATGAAACTTTATTTAAACACTATGATTTACAAAGTTGTTTCAATACCATTGTTTTGGGTATTCCATATTCCCACATCAGTCCCACCACAGATGTGCCCTTCCCTCTCCCAGTGTCCTCAGTTTTCTAGTCATTCTACAATCTTGCTCACTTAGCAGGCACAAAATAATTAACTTTATTTCACCTGTTAAAACATATATCTCACAATGGCTTTGGTAAAGCCATTGCCTGAGCATTTGCTGAACCATTAAGAGCTATCTGAGCCTTCTGTTACGGTTTTCACTCAGAGTTTAGTGAACTTCTACTCCATTTCCCCATCTAATTTTCTATGTTTATGATGGGCTGTCAGCTCTGTAAAGTTTGGAGTTGTTGTGCAGCCACATATGTGACCACACACTTCAGGAGCTTTGGAACTGGGATGACCAGCTGCCAGTGTCTTTCTGGCATGTCGCTGACATCAGCCATGGAGCTGGTCTGTCTGGAAGCGACAGGAGCCAGCTGTAGGTGTGTGGAGTTCTGGACCTTGGACAGCATGGGGACTCAATCTGCCCCACCCACCAGAGTTCAGACACCTGGGCCCAGCAATGATCGGGCTTGTCTGGAATAGCTCAGTGACCAGCGTCCCTCAGATCTGAGAACATCGTCTTAGTCACTATATTTTTCCATGTTACAGAGCCATGAATTTTTACAATTATGGTAGTAGAAACTAAATTATGGTACCATAACTTTCTCTTTGGTAACAATATACACATGAGCATATTAGGGTTTTCGTGTTAGATCAGACACTCAGTGTGAAGGGGTTTGTGCTGTGGCCTCTATCTCCCACTGTCTTACCTGTCAGGCTACTTGAAGTCATTGTTTCACTCTGGCATGGTCTCTCTCTCTCTCCCTCTCTCTCTCTCTCTCTCTCTCTCTCTCTTTCTCTCTGATTTACCTGAAGTTGATGGGATGATTCTTCAGAATTCAAAATTTCTAACACAAACAGTAGAAAGATTGATTTTATTATAGTATGTATTTAAAGAGAACGTTAACAAATGACAGATCTGTATGCATGTTATATCTGATACCCATAGCATCTTAGGACTTTTTAAAATGAAACTTCTATTCTATAAATGAAAAAAGCTCATGCTTTAATGAACAAGTAAAGCAACAATCATATTGTCATGGAGTGGCTGAATAGACACTGCCTCAGTCTGCCACAGTAAGGTCTGCCTGCAGACTTCTTGGCACAGCATGTTCCTCTGCCACAGGAGTCTTGTGCCTGTGCCCTCACTCAGCAGGTCAGTTACAGAAGCATGGGACAAAGAACTGAATGGCTTCAGTGGTTCTGTGACTTTTGAAATTCATCATCTCACATGCAGTGGTATCTAAAAATTGTGGACTCTTGAAACTTCTTTATAATTCTTACACAGACTTTATTTTTATGAGCATCTTACTGGGTTTCCTGAGTTCACTAGTTTATCATGACAAAGAAAACCAATCAGAAGACTTCATAAAAAACTGGGAATATGCACACATTCATGGAAACCTAGGAAAAGATAGTGAAGCTCATACTCAGGGGGGCAATATAGCACAATAGCCAGGCTTTGGAAATATAGAATATTCTGGGTTTCTCAGTTTGTTTCTTTGCCTGTGAGGTAGAATTATATCTGGAGATATTTTAGAGACACTGTAAGTGCTGGTAAGAGTTTTTGTGATTGCATTACAGGTTTAAAACTAACCTTTTAACCCTGCTGTCTCTCCAAACTTGTGCTCCAGCCAATGCTTCAGCTCAGGCTCAGGACCGACCAACAGCCACAGTGTCACCCCTGCGTACCCAGAATTCTCCATGCCGCCTGGCCACTGCCAGTCTCAGGCCTCACTCTGCGGTGTCCCCACAGCACAACCACCATCCCCCCTTGCAGACACTGGCTGGAGCCCAGGGTCCTCGGCTCATCATCCCACTTACATCAGCAGCATCAGCCATCACCCCTCCCAATGTCAACGCTGCCACCCTCCACGGGGAGACTGGAGGAGTTCCTGTCAGTGGCCCGTCAACATCCAGTCCCACCAATACAGGATGCAAAGCAGATGAGAAAAAAAACGAAAAGGTAAGTGACCCACTCTGGTTAAGCCATGGCTAACCCTCCTGGTGATCATAACTCTGTGACACACCCACAACACTGTTTTTCACAACAAAGTATTGAATGTGGGCACCAAGTACCAGCTCTCGTTTATGCCAAGCATGTGACAACCTGCTAAGGCAGCAAAGCAGATGGTGGCTGAAGTAGAATTTAGATAAGACTTAGCTCTAACTGAGAAGGGCTGACACAGGCCAGCTGTAGTTTTCATGCAAATCCCCTCCACAAGATGATTTCATTCCATCTGTCAGAAAATACATGCAATGTATTCAGTTTTGTAGAACAAGATTCTTTTGACCAGTTTCCAAAAGAACTGTACAAATCTCACCACTGAGGGCTCAGTGCCCCTCCACTGTGCCGTGCCGTGAGGCCATGTCCTGCACAAGCGCACAGCTCTTGGCAGGAAAGTGTCCACCTAGATTTAATATTTTCAGTGCTTAACTGAGTGGAATTGGGTTTGTTCGCAAAATGAAATTTGAATCCAGTGAACTTGCTTCTCTGTCGTCCCCAAATGCACATTAGATTGGCCAGGATTAGGACCCATATTTTTATTCGGTGTTATATGATGGAACAATAATGTATGTTCATACATATTCAGATATTCGCTGTCTGGGATGTGGCTTAGGTGGAGAGCACTTGAGCTCTTACAAGGTCCTAGGTAAGGGTTTAGGTCTTACACAGCAGTACTGAATAAACTCCCATTGCAATGGGCGAAAACTTCGCCGGAGTTTTCAAAAGGTTAAAATGATTTTAAAATGAAATAATATAATGTATCATCAATTAAACACAATATACAAAATTTTATTGTTTGTGTATGTGTTGTTAGTTCACAGTCTCCTGTGCACAGAAAGGGCCAATGTGAGAGGAAGCCCTCTGGGCTAGCCTGGGCCTAAGAGATGTGTTTCATACACAAGAGATTTGCACCTGAAGCTTATTTTGGGTCATTACAAAACAATTAGATCCCTGCCTTGTCCTCTGGAGTATTAAAAGCTTATGTCCCTGCCTTTTCAGGCTTCAGTCATGGACACTCCAGGTGGTCTCAGAGCTATGTGCTTAAATGACTAGTGTGGGACAGGTGAGAAAACAGTCACTGAGAGAACAGAAGAGATAAGGAAGGAAAGGGTCTTCCAGGGTCAGCTCCAGGGTTTATCAGCAGCCATGCCCTCTTGATGCCCTCCTTCAGCAGATATAATCTATATTTTTAAAAAATTTCCATGTTATACTGCTTTCAAACCTGTCTTTGATAGCCACAGTGACTGCACCATGGCTTTGGGGAGTGGTCCCCACCCAGGGACTCTGTTAATTGAGCCGTGTGGGTTGAGACCTGCCATTGGCTGCCACTCTTATTGGCCTTGTGGCAGGATAGGGTTAGTTCCTTCCTCTTCTTGCTTTGTTTCATTTTACAATTCTTTTGAATCCTTTACACCTGTTTAGAACAGTTTTTGAGCTGGAGTGTGCCAGCCAAGGCCTGGGTGAGGTCCTCTGCTCCAGAATCCCGGCCACAGGAGCCTTGTGCTTCTGAGTTCTGTTCTCTGTGTTGTCTTTGTGTTTCTCCTTCCCCTCCCCATGTTCTATTTTAAAAGTTCATCTACTGAAACACAATGTCCGTCATGCTCCATAAGGCGGGTGTCCCAGGGAACTGGTGCCCCTTCAAACTGACGTTTGAAAATGACTCATTCTTTCACAAAAATGATGCAGTGGATTTGAACCAACATTTTTGTGGATTGAATAGGATATTAAGAATGAAGTAGAGTTGGTCAGCATGTGTACCACACAGCAGGAAGTCAGTAGGGGAAACTATAGTACATACTAGAAACTTCTGACTTACAAACATTTCAAAAAGCCCCCAAGTCCTAATAAACATCTGGAAGAGTGGCTTGCTCAAAGGAGGCATGAGGTGACATTTGTAACTAAAGAGATGGAAACGTTGCTGCCCACCAATTTTCATTCCTAGGGCTTAAGATAACTTTTTCATTTTACAAGCCAAAAGATAGTTAAGTTTTACACTATAGTAAGTAAGTAAGTAAAAGCCCTCCTGTTAATCATCGATTTGCTCAAGCCAGCCCAGTAACGTCTCCATTGGAGACTTTGTTGTTACTGTGTTTGGCATATCAAATACGTCACGGAGAGCTTGCCAGGCTCTGCCATGCGGGCGAGATACTCTCGGTAGCTTGCCGGGCTCTCCGAGAGGGGCGGAGGAATCGAACTCGGGTCAGCCATGTTGGCTGCGTGCAAGGCAAACGCCCTACCGCTGTGCTATGGATTATATTATTTCAGCTTCATAAACTAATAGATTACTGAAACTTTCAAGAGCCTCTAAGGATCTTTTCAACCAGCATCTCCTAGTCAGTGGCGTTTCTGAGATGGAGAGGCTGCCTGGCATGTGCACTGGGGTCAGCATAAGGGCTCTGTGCTCCCAGCCCAGTCTCTGACTCCAGTCCTTTGCTGTGGTCCCTCCATTCGGCACGAGGTTCTGCTTTAAAGTGTTTTGGGCTGCTTCAGGGGCATGTAGGTGGAATGTCTGGGGAAGTAGCTGACAGAGAGCTCTGAGCTAGAGTGGAGGAATGTCTCTGTCATCTACCTTCTGGCTCCATACTGTACTTCTCTGCAGCAATAGCTTGTGTGAAGGTGATACATTGACCAGACCCATGTAGCAAACATGACCTTTATAAATAAGGCATTGCTCTAAAAGGAACAAGAGCCTTGGCCAAACAATGGTCCAAAAATAGCAGGCATAAAATAATTTATTTTATATTTGTTGTTATTATAAAATGGCAAAGTGGATTTATTGAATAATTAGTAAAAGGAAATTTGTGAAAAATTTTAAATCTCACAATGTAGTTATTAAAGTCATTGTCTAAGTGCTTGCTAAGCTGTTTGTTGCTAGTTGAGTCTTCTGTGTTTTGTTTGTTTATGGAGCAAAGTTGGCTTCCATGCTACTTTTCATCTAATTTGCTGTGCTCCTACCTACTGGGCTGTCAGTGTTGTGGGGTTTGGATTCTACATTCCAAGAGCTCCAGGATCTGTTGAACTGGGACGATTCTCAGCCTGGCCCTGTGCTGAGAGGGCCGAGTTTTCAGCCCAAAGACAGCGTACCTGTGAGTTTCAGTGGCTTGGCTTGCATCTCTTCGGAAACTGGTCATTGTGCTGTGAAGTCAGGCAATGCTTACATGGTGGCAGCTGTGGGATATGGGTGCGGCTGCTGAGGCTTCTGTAGGATGTGGGGATGGGAGCAGACTTCCCACCTCCACTCTGAGAAGACCCCAGAGTTTTCATCTCAAATTACAGGATACCTGGAAATTTTGTTGGCTTGGCATAAGTGTAAAAATTAGTCATGAAGTATTGAATTTGGGTCACTTGCATGGCAGCCATGAGGTGGGTGTGGCCAGGGGCTTCTGACAGAGACTCACACTGTCCCTCTCCCAAGGATGCCCCAGGATTTTCAGCCCATAACCAGTGTACCTGTGAGTTTCATGGGTGTAGCTTGGCATCTCGTGAGATAAGTGTTGGAGCTGTGAGGCAGGGCCATTGTTTACATGCAGCAGCTGTGGGATGTCCACTTTCTACTAACTGTAGACTCTTTTCTTTATTGAATAACCATGCAATAGTTACAAGCATCATGTTTGGGTTACAATCACAAAATGATCAAATACCCATCTCTCCACCAGTGCACATTCCCCACCACCAGTATCCCTGGTATACTCCCCCTTTCCCACCCTCCCTATGCCTCCATGGCAGACAATATTCTCCATACTCTCTATCTCTCCTTTTGGGCACTATGGTTTGCAATACAGACACTGAGAGGTTATCATGTTTGGTCCATTATCTACTTATCTACTTTCAGCACACATCTCCCATCCCAACCGATTCCTCCAGCCCTCATTTTCTTAGTGATACCTTCTCTATTCCAGCTGCCTTCTCCCCTCTGCTCATGAGGCAGGCTTCCAGCTATGGAGCAATCTTCCTGGCCCTTGTGTCTACTGTTCTTGGGTGTCAGCCTCATGTTATGTTATTTTATACCCCACAAATGAGTGCAGTCCTTCTATGTCTGTCTCTCTCTTTGAATCATTTCACTTAACATGATACTCTACATGTCTTTCCATTTATAAGAAAATTTCACGACTTCAACTCTCCTAACAGCTGCATAGTATTCTATTGTGTAAATGTACCAAAGTTTCTTTAACCAGCTGTCTGTTCTAGGGTACTTGGGTTGTTTTCAGATTTTGGCTATTGTGAACAGTGTTGCAATGAACATATAGGTACAAATGTCATTTCTACTGTGCTTTTTGCATTCTCAGGATATATTCCCAGAAGTGATATTGCAGGGTCATATGGATGCTCAATTTCTAGTCTTTGAAGGACTGTCCATATTGTTTTCCAGAAAGGGTGGACCAGTCGGCATTCCCACCAACAGTGAGAGAGCATCCCTTTTTCCCCACATTCACGCCAACACTGGTTGCTTTTGTTCTTTTGAATGTGTGTCAGTCTCTGTGGTGTGAGATGATATCTCATTGTTGTTTTGAATTGCTACTCCCTGATGACTAGCTATGTGGAGCATTTTTTCATGAGTCTTTTGACTATTTGTTCTCTTTTTTGAAGAAACTCCTGTTCATTTCTTCTCCCCATTTTTTGATGTGGTTGGAGGTTTTTTTTCTTGTACAATTCTACTATAGCACTGTAGCACTGTTCTCCCGTTGTTCATCGATTTGCTCGAGTGGGCCGAGAAATGTCTCCATTGTGAGACTTGTTGTTACTGTGTTTGGCATATCAAATACATCACGGGTAGCTTCCCAGGCTTTGCTGTGCGGGCAAGATACTCTTGGCAGCTTGCCGTGCTGTCTGAGAGGGGCAGAGGAATGGAACTCAGGTCGGCCATGTAGACCAGGTGCAAGGCAAACGCTCTACCTGCTGGCTATCACCTCTATTAGTTTTTTGTATATCCTGGATGTTAATCCCTTACAAGGGGGGGG